ATCTGATGGATTATGCCATAGTAGCTGTTTACTTTGTTCAGGTATTAAGGTGAGGATTCATAGCATGGACGCCTCCAGGGAGCTTCAGTAATTAGAATCAGCTTCCAAATTTTCAGTAGGTCGAATTTCCGCCCACCCAAACACTTCCCTGATTATGTTTACGAATGGTCGTTGCTATAATAGTTTTCTTTGTCAATATGCTCCCGTTTCAGTCTTAATTGTACTTTCCGCATCCTTTTCACCTAGATTTTTAATTCAGTAAAACAAATACAGGCGGTTATAGTTGATGTATTATTTATTTATATATTACCGAAAGCAATCTCTTACTTGGAGTTAATCAGGATATTCAAGGATCTAAAGACGCAGACTGACATTTGGTGTTAATATTTGGGTCAATAAGCAGTTAGTAGTATAACTTCTTGATTATTGACTATATTGCCAGGACAGAAAACCAACTACAAGTCCAGACACAGGTTTTATGGGTACTCTACTGCTGATTGCCATTGCTGCAAGGCGCCCGGCTCATCAGCAGGTCTTCTAATACTTTCTGTGTGCTTTCTGATAGATAATCTAGTTTTGCCAACGTAGCTTTGCAAGTTCCAGAGGTCATAATCTTCCTTTTGGAGTAAATCCACATCTTCTTTGATATATTCAACGAAGCCGATAACCGAACATGAAAGCAAACCTTTAAAGGGAGACTAGTCCTCCCTCAAATCAATAAATATAATACGTTTTTCACTCCTTTGGAAAAAAAGGAGGCCACCTGGAAATAATCGCAGAAGGGGTTTTAAATACAACATAAATGCCGATCGTTTTTGCTAAGGGCGACGACGAATTGATAAAGAAGAATTAGATGTGATCGCTGGGACAAGTACTTTATTTGCCTACAGTTTCGGAAACTGTCGCAGATCAATCATCAGAGACGATAGCAGAAACGGATAATTCATTCAGAAATAATTGCGGTATTTAGGGGATAGAGTTACTATGACTCTGTATTCTTATGACAATAAAAGGCTCCCCTTATTGAAGCAAGTTACCCGCTTGTACGCTAATGACTCAGTGACTGGCATGCGGACCGCTGCTCAATCTGATCAAAGCCTATTAAAGTATAACATCAGCCAGAGTAAGAGCCTTTCGTGAAGAGTCAGATTCTTTCCCACTGGCTTGTGGAGTTCGACAAGGATGCCCTTTTCCCCCCAGTTCGCTTCAACATCTTGATCAACTGGGTTCAGTTCAGTTCAGTTTTATTAGGGAAATATAGGTAAATACCTTTGAACTCTCCTCTTTGTACATGGATGATGCAGAACATGTGGCGTTGCCAATAATAATGGAATAATGGGATGGCAGACAGTCAAAAAACTCCTTAGGCATTTTTCATAAGTCTAGTTTTGAATACCATTTGCGGGATTATAAGGAGTAAAAACTGTCGCCTGTGGGGGGGGGGAAGGCGAAGGGTAAATGTAAATCGGATGTCCTGCAGCTAAAAGTGTTTGAATCATGTCAGGAGGAGGCCATCGCGGTGGTCACGAGGACATCACCGAGTGTCGGAGATGCACCCATCATACGCCCTTGCTGGTTACCGGGTCTGCCGACCAGATGACGAAACATGGGAGCCCACCAGGATCATCAGAAGTTATTCTAAACAAACATATTATTGAAAAGTAGCGAGCAGTATGTTTTTTATAAAGTAATTACTGCCAGAGAAGTCTGGTGGCAAATCTTACTTGTTGACTTAGTTGCCCGTCGTTGTACCCTTTTAAAGTTTTTTTGTCTTTGACTGTCCAAGGTTTCCAGGCTTGGATGGCAAATTCC